GATAGAGTTACCTGATGGGGTTAGTGTTGTGACCCATGAGATGTTATCAGGAGAGTCTGTGGTGATCCATGGTCAGGAGTTAGTAGTTGATTTAATAGTGTTTGATATGCCTGACTTTGATGTGATTTTGGGTATGGATTTCCTAGGGAGGTATGGAGTAGAAATTGACTGTTAGAAGAAGAAAGCGACATTTAATCTCGATAGTGGAGATAAGTTTAGTTTCAGAGAGGGCCATCAGTTGAGTAAATTGATTAGTAGCATGAAGGCTAGAAAGATGCTAAGAGAAGGGTGTTTTGGGTATATATCCCATGTGGTATAGAGTAGAGATGTCCCACAACCAGAATTGTACAGTATGCAATAGTTAGAGAATTTCCGTATGTATTTCTAGAAGACTTACCGGGTTTGCCTCTGGGAAGAGAAGTTGAGTTTAGTATTGAACTGGCACCAGGAACAGCACCGATATCTAAAGCCCCTTACCGAATGGCCCCAGCCGAGCTTCAGGAATTGAAGAAGTAACTCCAAGAGCTCCTAGATAAAGGTTTTATCCGACCAAGTTATTCTCCCTGGAGAGCTCCAATCTTTCTTGTAAAGAAGAAAGATGGGTCATTATAGATGTGTATTGATTACAGAGAGTTGAATAAAGTGACAGTGAAGAATAAATACCCGTTACCTCGGATAGATGACCTTTTTGATCAGTTAAAGGATGCAGCAGTATTTTCCAAGATTGATTTGAGGTCGGGTTATCATCAGGTAAAAGTGGCAAAACAAGATATAGCTAAGACTGCCTTCTGGACAAGATATGGGCATTATGAATTTATTGTGATGCCTTTTGGATTAACTAATGCCCCAACAGTCTTTATGGACTTAATGAATTGGGTGCTCCATGATTGTCTGGATCAGTTTATAGTGGTATTTATTGATGACATCCTAATTTATTCGAAGTCGAGAGAAGAGCATAAGGAACACTTAAGGTTTGTGTTGTAGCGATTGAGAGAAAAGAAGTTGTATGCCAAGTTTTCGAAATGTGAGTTCTAGCTTGATCAAGTGATATTTCTGGGCCATATTGTTTCTAGCGAGGGGATTTCAGTGGATCCTAGTAAAGTAAAGGCAATCTAGAATGGCAAAGGCCGAAGACAGTAAAAGAATTAAGGAGTTTCTTGGGACTAGCAGGTTACTATCACCAGTTTTTGGCAGGGTTTGCCCAACTGGCTAAGCCGTTGATAGCTCTTACTAAACAGAGAGCTCCTTTTATATGGTTAGTTGCCTGTGAAGAGAGTTTTCAAGAGTTGAAGAAGAGATAAACGACAGCTCCCGTGTTAGTGTTACCACAGGAAGTTATAGATTATGACATTTATACAGATGCCTCACTGTAGGGACTTGGTGTCGTATTGATGCAGTTAGGTAGGGTTATAGCTTATGCTTCTCGTCAATTGAAAGAGTACGAAACAAGATACCTTACACATGATTTAGAATTGGTAGCAGTAGTCTTTGCCTTGGAGATTTGGAGGCATTACCTTTATGGTACCAAGAGTAATATCTACATCGACCATAAGAGTTTAAAGTATTTTTTTACTCAGAAGGAGTTGAATATGAGATAGAGAAGATGGTTAGAGCTGGTTAAAGATTATGAGTGTCAGATTAAGTATCAACCGGGGAAAGCTAATGTGGTAGCTGATGCTTTGAGCAGGAAAACTTATTTGTCCTGACTCATAAGACAGAAAGAGATAATATAAGAGTTGTGTAAAGAGCAGATTGAGGTCATACCCGGAAGGATTGCCAAGTTAGAGGTTCAGTCTACCTTATTGGAAAAAATTAAAGAAAAGCAAGTAACTGATGAGTGGTGTCAGAAAATAGTTCAGCAGGTGCTTAAGGGCAAATGGAGAAGGAACGTAGCAGTGGAAAGAAGAGAAATAAAGGTTACAAACCCTTAATATCTTATTTTATAAACATATTTTCCCATTTTCCCCTTACACTTTCTTAGAAATTCCATCTATATCCCTTAGTCAATTACCATAATGCCCTTATTTTTATTGCATTTTACATGAAATTCTCTCTCTTTTCGCTCCCCACTTTTTCAACTAATTTTGAGTGAAAAGACCATTTTACCCTTAATGCAAGTTTTAAGGCATTTTCTTCATATTCTCTTAAAATAACTTTAACAAAAATCAACTAAGGGCTATAAAAACATAAATTAAATTACATACCTCCGTGTGGGCGTTACAGGTCAGTAGCGAGCTAAGGGTTGAGATTGCTTCCAATCCTCAACACTCAGCTCGACTCATTCTAGTCGACTGACATTTCAGATAAATCCTCAACTGGCCCACTGGAAGGGCATTCCTGGATACGAGGATCCATATTATCTTTGGCTGGGCCAGGCTGTGATTTGATCTGAATGATCACCATTGCCTGTTCGGGAATGTCACGCAGGATGCATTTTGCCTTGCATGCCATCTGCACTGCCCTTACATAGCAGTCGCGAGATGCGTGCTGAGATCCGCTTACTTCCCCTATCCCCGTCGGGGTGGGGAACTTCATCTTGAGATGGTAGATCGAAGTGACTGCCTTAGAGTTTCTTAGTAGAGGTCGCCCTAGGATGCCATTGAAAGCGGAGGGGCAGTCCACTACCAAGAATTCAGTGATCTTGGTCACCTCGTCAAAGTCACCCAGCGTGACTGGAAGCAAGATCGTTCCCTTGGGGATTAGGTGATCCCCTGTAAAACCAGGGGGATAGAGTTGGGTTGTAGGTCGGCCTCATCCAATTTCATTCATTCGAAAGCTCGCTAGAATAGGATGTTCACAATGCTTCCATTATCCACCAACATTATATGGACGTCGCAGTGCCCTATTTGGGGCATGATGAAGAGAGCATCGTCATGGGGATGATGCAATCGAACTGCGTATTTTTCGGAGAAGGTGATTTCCTCCTCTCTGCGAACCTTTGATGGTCGTTGCGTCATGTTTATCACATGGATAAGGTCGTGATGGGCTGCGCGAGAATATCTTTCTTGGGCACCTTGCAAATTCCCTCAGAGGTGTGGTCCCCCAAAGATTATCCCCATGCTGTAGATACCTTTGCGATCACAATGCTTCTTACCCAGTTCCTCTCGATTTTTCTCCCTTACGGAAGCAGAGCCATCAACATACTCTTTGAAATGCCCCTGCTTGATAAGGTCTTTGATTGCCTGCTTGAGAGCTCGACACTCATCAGTGTGATGCCTATTGTCCCGATGATAATGACAACACTTTTTACTGTTTCTGGCTGAAGGGGAATTTTTCATGGGCTCAGGTTCTCCTAGCAGACCGGCCTCTTCTGACTTGTCAAGAATGGCCGAGACAGATGCATTCAAAGGAGTATATTGACTCCTGTTGCAATCGCGATGAGGAACTAGAGCATAAGACTTCTTGGGCTCAAACTGTGGTTTATTTCCTTTCCGCTGATCGTCATTAGCCCTTTTATGGTCAGTCCTCCTATTTTCCCCCTAACCCGGTGTATTGACTGAAGTGCCAGGGTTGTGGCAGTGGAGCACCGCCATGGAGTTCTCAATACAAAGGTATTTCTCCGTAAGGCTGTAGAAGCGAGTGAGGGAAACATCATCCTCTGATTGCAGCTCTTTCCACAGATCTGTCTGTGGACGAACTCCCATGATGATGAGAGTCTTAACGGACTCTTTAGGAGTGTGAGCTACTTTATGAAGCTTCCTCTGGAATCTGTCGATGTAAGATTAGAAGGATTCATCCCTCTCTTGCCTTATGTTGCTAATGTAGCTTAAAGGTATTGAGAATTTTCTATTCGCTTGGAAATTTCTCAGGAATGTCAAGCTCATCTGATTCCACGAGCCGATTGATCTCGCCGAGAGCGACCAGAACCATCGCTTGCCATGTGAAGTTAGAGTTACTGCCAAGCAATGACATTTTGCCAAGTCAGAAACTTGGTGAAGTTCCATCAGGTCATTGAATTCGTATAGGTGATCCTGCAGATCGGTATTTCCATCGAATGCTCGCATATCGAGCATTCTGAATCTGGATGGGAGAGGGGCGGCTAACACAGCCAGAGTAAAGGGAGACGCCTCTGCAACCTGTCCTTGCTCATTTTGCTGAGCCTTTAACTGATCCAAGGCTCGCTGTAGTTCCTCAATCCGAGGCAGCGGGGCCATCTAAGGATTGCTTTCCCCAATGCAGGTGAGACCCTCACGGTTGAGGAAAGATCAAAGGTCGGATTCCTCCTCACTTCGACCAACAGTTCTGACCGCTCTTGATACGGGCTGGCTAGAGTCGTGCGATGGCGTTGAATGATTCGGGGAACCTTCTCGAACTCCGAGGTGGTGCGAACTGACCTGCAAATGGTGGGAACTTCCCGCGTGACGACGATCGAAGTCGTCAGTTCGGCAATAATGGGAATCTCCCTGCCTTGCACTATTATGGGAGTGCTCGCATGACGTGGCACTGGACAGCTCAGGCAGCGACATGTCATCGAGTCTGCGCGCCACGGGTATTCTACCCGGGGTGTGATTGGTGTTCATTGGTCCCTCGGAGCCTCTAAGCCCGCTGTTAGCCACATTTTTTCCCTTTTTTTGATGCGTTGCAATGCGCGCGGCACGGGCTATCGCCCTTTTCTGAACTTTCATATGACCTGCAGGTGTTTTTGGCGGTGGCACTGCCTCATTTGATTCGGGTGGCACGACCCGATTCATAATCTCACATAGAAGAGGGTTCACCCTGATCTCTTTGTTCCTGAGATTAACGAGGTTGATATCTACCAGTTTGATCCTTATGACTTGCCAGGTAAGTGAGTTTTATTCTTTCAACTTTTAACTTTAATTCTCTCTTTAATTTCTTCGATTCTGACTAGAATTGAATTGTCATGCAACGCTTTCAAAAACCAAGTCCGATGACCAGGTGTGGTACTTTTTCTGTGAACCGCATTATAAGTATGCCAACAGTAAACGTGCCCATCGAGCAACAGGGTGAGGGAACTGGAAAATAACCGGTCGAGGCTGTGACATGAAGGATAAAGGAAGGGTGATCGGTAAGAAAAGGACATTGGTTTTCTGCAGACATGGTAGTACTTCTAAGGAGATCAAGACTGATTGGGTTATGAATGAGTTCTATATCGAGGACAGCCCTTATTATGAGGTGTATTATTTTGTTCGATTCTTATTGCTTGTTCCTTCTTCTTTGTTTTGAATTTGGAAACATTTGGCTTGATGGGTTGTCCTCTTTTCTGATTTGGTGTTGAATTTATCTATAGTAAATCTTCTGTTAACTTTTGTTTAAATATGCTCTGTGATATTAGTGACAAGCTGCATAAATTTAGCTTCTGGGTTGTGTTTGACTTACTGGTAGAAGATTGAAGTGATTGGTAAATATGCTAGAAGCTTGATTTCGTTTGATTAGGCACTTCAATTAGATTTAATTATAATCTACAAATTTAATTTTGTAATCTGTTTTATGAGATTGTATAGGAACTCGTATGTATCTTAGTTATGTACTTGATTTTTTATTATTAGTGATATCCATGGAAATTATGTAAGAAATTGAGACCTTTCTTCTAAGTTCAAAATCGCTGTGCAGAACCATTACTAATGTGACAAGGAGAATATATTTTCCTTATGAATTATTTTATGAAAGAGTCTGTTGTTTTTGTTTCTCTTTAAAGTCTGGTAGGTAGTATAGAGGCAGTTCTGATCAAAATTTGCTATGTCTGGGAAATAATTGGTACTACAGGATTCTAGGCAATTACACATTACATTTTATTTATTTTAATTTTACCTTTATTTAATTTTTTGTTTTTGTAGAAGAATTTTGTTGTCTGTTACATAGAAAAAACAAGTCTAGTGTTTCAACACCCGATGATGGTCAACCGAGTCATAGTCTGTCTTCACATTATGAAAATCGTGTTACAGAAAATTCTTTTTCAGAGGTGAGATAAAACATGTCTTGTGGTCATGTTTCAATATCAAGTCGGAAACATATCCAGAATTAATACTTCTTTATTTATGGTTATTGGTTCAGGTTGAATCTCAGCAAACAATGAGTCAGCATTTGATTTCTGATTCTAGAAAGCATATTACAGAAAATTCATTTTTAAACGTGAGAAAAAGCATGCCTTATGCGTAGTCTTCGGTATCAGCTGTAGTCTTTGAAAAACATATTCACACAACTAATACTTTGTCTATGATACTTTTCTTCAGGTAGAATTTCCACCATTATCTGTCATGCAACGGAAACATAAACTCTAACGCTAGCTATTGAATATAATAATAACAAGTAGTAAAGCATAAATAAATAGCCAAAATTAAATGCAAAAATAAAGAATACCAGGAATTAACGAGGTTCGGTATTGAAACCTACGTCCTCGGGCGCTGCAAAAGAAAACTCCACTATCTCCAAAACATTACAAACTTTTGGGCAATACAGCAAATACCCAAAACAAAGGGGAGATACAACAAAACTTACAAACTAAAGGGTCCTTAAAGAAAGAACCCTAAACAAAAAAAGTATAATGGAATTAAATCTTGGGATACAAATAACATTGATTTAGGTCCGTATATATAGGCTCCAAAAGTTTCCCACTTTTCATTCCTTTTCAATGTGGGACAAACTAACTCATTTTTGCCTATTACATATAAGTCCCTAAACCTTTCTCCATTATCACTTCTACCCCATGTGATTTTGCTAAAAGCCATTTTTCAACAAATCTCCACCTTGGTGAATTAGCAAATCTTCAAAGTTTTGTATTCTTCTATCAAATTTTGCAACACCTTCAAAAGTACCAAAAGACACAGTCAAGCTCGCAGGATGTTGATTAAGTTCAAACAATAAATGAACTTGACCCTTGTCACTACTGAAGTCAACATGTCTGTAGGATTATCTTCTGTGCCAATCTTCTGGAAAATCATTTTCCCATTTTCAATATAATCCTACACATAAAACTAAACCAATATCTATAGTACATAAAATATACTGTAGAAACCATTTCACAACTTGCAAATGTCCTTTACCAGGATCATGCTTATGCCTGCTCACCATACTAACTGCTAGTGAAATATCAGGCCTTGTGTACCCATGACCTATCATACATTGATCAAATCGCTTATACCACTGTCTTGGTGACTGCTTCAAACTATATAGCGATTTCTTCAATCTGCAAACCCAATTTTTCTTTCCAGAAACCCTACAATCATCTGGCTAAGTCTTGTAGATTTCCTCTTCCAAACTATCATGTGAAAACGCGATTTTCACATACAATTGAACTAGTTCAAAATCAAACTGTGCCACCAAGGTTAGCAAAATTAGAATGGAAGAATATTTTACCACAGGAGAAAACACTTCACTGTAATCAAATCCTTCCATTTGAGCATATCCCTTTACTACCAACCTAACCTTGTGTCGAACATCTTCTCTATTAGGAAATCCCTTCTTCTTTACATACACCCATTTGCACCCAATCGTCTTCTAATGTAGGGATCACATTTCATCATTCATGGCCGGTTTCCATGATTCACAATTTGAACTCCTAACTACTTCTTTATAAGTAGTAGGAATATCATCACCTACGATTGGAAGTGCATAAGCCACCATATTAGCGAAACGAGCAGGCTTGCGAATTTCTCATCTTGGCCTATTGTATGTAATCAATTCCTGTTGCTGAGGAGATTCTTGGGGTAAAATCTCCTTTTCATCTATAGTATCCACATTAGTCACCTCAGAATCACTTTCTGTCTCGTGGACACTATCTGATTCAACTGTTGTTTCAAACTCCACCTGCTGCCGAGTATGCTCCACACACATATGCCACAGCTTCAGCATTTCTAAATCTGCATCCTCTGTACGACTGCAGCTGTCGTTCCAATAACTGTACTACCATTATAGTAATACAAGTTGTTTCTCCTTGTGCCTTTCATTACCACAAGAGCGCCCTGAAGAAACTTTTAGAATTCCATCTGCATATTCACTGTGAAGCCTTTAGATTCCAAGGCTCCCAAAGAGATGAGATTCTTTTTCAACTTCGGTACATACCGGCATCTGTCAGAGTTCTAGTCAAGCCATCATGAATCTTCAACCGAATTGAACCTATCCAGTTGTTTTACAAGCATCATCATTGCCCCTATAAACAACTCCATCGTTCTTCAAAATTAAAGAACCAGTCTGGTGAGGACACATATGATAGGTACTACCTGAATCCATAATCCACTCATTTGATCCAGAGGTGGATGGTAGGCTAACTAGACAGAAATCTGACTCATCCTCTTCACGCTCAACAACGCATGCATCAGAAGCAATTTTGCCCTCTTTCTTTTTCAACTTCGGACAATCTTTCTTCCAATGCCATTCTCACGACAAAAGGCACATTGATCCAACTGAGTTTCCCTTCGAACGAGATCTTCCTCTTCTCTCATTCATGTATGTGTTTTCCAGCGCCTTCCATAACTATTGGCAGAAGTCTCTTTCATGAATGGATATTTATGCTCTCTACAAAGACATGAGCGAATCATCCACACGCTTTTACATTCAACCTCACCCAGTCTTTCTCATAGACATGTTCTGTTCCTCTCCAGAACGATATTAGATCCCGCTGATACAAGCTATCCATTACCTCACTCTGCACAAGCCAAAATTATTTTGGCCATCAATTTTCAACATCAATTTTTGCATTTGAAACCGTTATCATCTTTATGGTGCGGATGATGGTGCCGCAGACGGTGATGCCTCGGAGATGATCCTCGGACAAGATGCATTATGCCTTACTCAATTAGCTTGGTAAACAAAGTTCCCAATAACCAAGCTCACAAATTATTATATTCAATAGCTAACCAACAAATCAACAATAAGCCCTAGGTAGTAGTAAGTGCTAAAATGATTAAATATGCACCAGGAAAATTCCCAGGAAACAATGGAGGGGTCACAAAGGCCACTTAAAACCAGTCTCCTTAGACTTATCGTCTTTTGACAAAATTTTCCTGACATGCATATAACCATACAAATAACTACTCACTGTCCTAAACCTAGGCTCTGATACCACTTGTTATGCAACGGAAATAAACTCAACGCTAGCTATTGAATATAATAATAACAAGTAGTAAAGCATATAAATAGCCAAAATAAATGCAAAAATAAAGAATACCAGGAATTAACGAGGTTCGGTATTGAAACCTACGCTCGGGCGCTGCAAAAGAAAACTCCACTATCTCCAAAACATTACAAACTTTTGGGCAATACAGCAAATACCCAAAACAAAGGGGAGATACAACAAAAATTACAAACTAAAGGGTCCTTAAAGAAAGAACCCTAAACAAAAAAAGTATAATGGAATTACATCTTGGGATACAAATAACATTGATTTAGGTCCGTATATATAGGCTCCAAAAGTTTCCCACTTTTCATTCCTTTTCAATGTGGGACAAACTAACTCATTTTGGCCTATTACATATAAGTCCCTAAACCTTTTCATTATCACTTCTACCCATGGGATTTTGCTAAAAGCCATTTTTCAACATTATCAAGTAACAATTTGTCTTCTGATTCACTAATTTTTCCAGAAACTTCTTCAGTGGTAAGGAAAACTACTCAATCTCAATTATACCTATGGGCATGAAAAACATGTTCAGACTACTAATTCTTGTTATCTATGATCCTTATTCGGTAGGACCTCAACTACTATCAAGTGACGAATTGGATCATTCATGAGAGTATTTACTCAACGGTGAGGAAAAATAACTTACATAGTTTTCATATCAAGTTATACATATGGATATGGTGCATGAAAACCATATTTAAATAACATTATTGTTTTTGTCATGATTCTTGCTTCAGATAAATCTGTTAGTGTTTATGAGCTGGAGATAACTAAGAAAGAAGAGAGCATAATCGAATGAAGAAAAGTGCCTGAATTTGTTTTGAGTTCAAAATGAGTTTACACTTCAACTAATAAAGCAGATTTTACACTTTACACAACCATGCAGACATAAAATAACTTGATTTAATCTGAATCTACTAATTATACCAACTAAGCAACAACTATGGAACACATCCCATATAATATGGGACACATATCAAGCATTACAAAATAAGTATAACTGCAGTGTTACAAATGGAACCCGGCAGATTGACTTTCAGTTTACCGCCAAAAACATATTTGAAACATCAGTTGAACTGCTAATTTCCAGCCAAGTATCAATCTTCAACACTCCTCTTGATGGTTGGCTGGAAACACAAGTCTGAATCTGAATTCTTCAAACTTGGCTTTGGAGACAGCCTTGGTCATGATGTCAGCCACTTGATGTTCACTCTTGCAATGCATGAGATTTACTTCACCATTTTGCTCAGCTTCTCTCACGACATGGAAATTAATTTTATATGTTTTATTCGTCCATGCTGCACAGGATTCTTGGCCATAGCTACTGCAGATGGTTGTCACACATGATAGCAGTAGCTTGTTCTGTTTCAGCTTCAAGTCATCAAGAATTTTCCTTAACCAAATGGCTTGATTCACAGCTACAGCAGCTGATATGTACTGCTTCAGCTGTGGATTGAGCCACGTTTCCTGTTTCCTAGAAAGCCAGCAGATAGAACCATGATTCAGGAAGAATGCAAAACCTAAAGTGCTCTTCATATCATCTGTTGAACCAGCCCAATCACTGTCTGAATAACCAATCAAACCAAAGTCCTGATCTCTTGAACCATACCCATAGTCAGTGCTTCCTCTTACATAACCTCAATACCCTTTTTGCTGTTTTGAAGTTAGTTCAGTGGATACTATGAATCTGGACAGTAGACTGGTTGCATACATTAAATCTGGCCTAGTTGTTGTTAAATACAGCAAACACCTA